GCATTAATTGCTGCGATTGATATCGGAACTAATTCGAAAGATAACCGAATTATTACGGACATCATAAAATTATATGATATGGAAATTAAGCATTAGGAATTTTTCTATTTAAAACAAATTATTATTTTAATTAATATTGTTATAATATAATATGTTGTGATATTTAACTTTCTATGTGTTTTTACGTAAAATTATATATAGAATGCACAGTCCTCATTTTAATATAAATATTATTTTTAATTATTACATGTACTATAATTTTATTGAAAATGTTAAAATGTAAAAACTAAAATTTAAAAAATAAATTGAACTAAAATTTGAATAATTAAAAGGCAAAAATTATTATTATTACGCGTTAAAATATATAATATTCGAATCACATTTAAATTTTGCCATTTTTAAATTCTAAACTTGAACACAAATAAAGTCAAATATCGGATATATAGGAAATGTATGACCTACATGGTTATCAGTTATACATTTTAAATAATGGTAACGCTTTCCTGTCATGCACAATATATTTTTAATGGAGGATAACAGAGATTTATAAATCTTCAATGACAGATTTTGTTTAATTCTATTAGTGAAAAACCATTGGATTGCTTCACATTAAAATATATCCGGAAATTGAGATTTGAATAAAAAGATTTGGTTCCCTTTTTATAACATTTCACAAATGGCCGCTAGTTATATATGACACTACAATATATGATTACAAATATATATCCGGATTATTTTCGCGTTCCATTTCATAATCTACACGTTTCATCAAACGAGATACGGGAATATTCACGAATCACCAAGCGAAATTTGCTCCCTACCGACGCGTAATGTTCTCGCGTCGCGAAAAACAAGCCGCGATAACGAGCATAATTCAATGTCTCCCGCATGCGCTTCATTAATAAATTATTCAAGCCGGGTTATTGAAGCATTCGCCAACTCCGCGGCTCCTTGGTTCATCGCGGATGACGAAGGGCCTTATTATGCGAAACCGGCGCCTCGTATTCGCGTTCGTGTTCGCACGAACGCTCGCATATATACTCACATACATATATTTATATGTACATGCGCGCGAGTGCGCGCGCGAACTTCGCGACTGCATAATTGCCAAGAGTTTGATAGAACGGCAAGTTTCAGCCGAACACGGCCGAAAGCTGGGAAGGGACAGCTGCCAGCGTACAGTTAAGCCGATATTCTCCGGCTATCCGAGAATGTAGCAGACCGTTAGAATGATAAGAATTAAGAGCGAAAGATATTAAGAGTGAAAAAGAGTTAAAAAATATGCGATAAAAAATATGTGATAAGAAAGCGTGAGAGACCGTGTATTCTCATTCGCTATTGTCCGTTTCGCTATTGTCCGTTTATCGATGCGATTTATGGTCCGTATTGCGGACACACGAACTATTCGCGCGTTTCGGTGCCGCGAAACTTTTCCGATCCGACTATCGGTCCTGAGTAGTTTTAACGACTGTGAACGCGGAACAGTTCGAGTTTACGAGTTGGCTGTGTGAATAGTTAACGTCTAGAGCTCCTTCGCGCGACACCCGAACAGCAGCGACCGATAAAATAATTTTGCACGCTATAAAGCAAGGGCACGACGACAGCCGGTACGCTTTGGGAATTCGTTTCGGGACGGAAATTGCAACTTACGAAATGGTCAAGTCGATTCGGAATTCTGGCGCCTCGGTACGACACGACGCTTAATCGTCGCACGGAGAAATCATATTAATTCTGCAAAATCTCAAGCAAATGGAAATTTAGTCCGACAGACGCATTTTTATTACTTCCAAATTAATTTAATCTTTTAGCACCAATTTGTGCAGTTTGCGCGACACGGAAAGGTAGAGAGATACGATGTCTTTCCGTTATTACAAATTTATTTCCGGTAATGTAATTAAGACACATTTAATTAATACTTGCGTAGATTTAATATGCAATAATTAATTGCAATGGCTAATCAAATAGTTGAATAATAAATATATTTAAAGCATCTCGCTTTTGAAAGGTGTTTTATTAAATAAATATACGATATATACGAATGTTCATATATTAATAAATATACGAAACGTAAAGTTTCTAATCAAGCTATTTTGTTGACAGAGAAATGGCATACGTCTTTCGCCGAAAGCGCATGATCTCTCATAGCCGTCGTCTCGCGTTGCTCGTAAAACGTGTCGCTGAGGATGGAGCAAAGGACTCACAGGAGCAAAGACTCACCATTTAGGACATGAACCCTGATGGATGCCGTATTGGCGTTACTGGGTTTGCAGCTGTACTCCCCGGAGTCCGAGGGCTGCGCCGTCTGAATGAGAAGCCAGGAGGTGGTGACGTCGCCACCCTTCTCGGTTATCACGGAGACGCCGCCCCTGGGACTATCGTAGCTCAGGACGTTTTCATTGTAGTACCAGAAGATGTAGGCTGGTGGCTCCGAGCTGAAGTGTATGGCACACGTCAGGTTTATCGTGCTGCCTGCACCGACGTACAGCTCGGGGCCGCCCAGTATCGTCGCCGTAGGTACTGCGATAAAGAAGATTATTCCTTCGCTTTCCTTCTCCCTTTTTCCCCGCATTTTCTTTGTTTTTCCTCATTTTTCCCTATCTTCTATCTTTTCCCCTCTCAATCATTATTCTCCGTCCGGATAAACTCAAAGATCTATGCGTCGTGAAAGCTTTTCGCATAAAAGCCTTTTGGAAGTGATACTTAGCGAACGAGGGAAACAAAGATTCTTTAAAGCCGCCCTCTGATCCGTGAGGAGTAACAAGTTGAAGCTTCTCTCAACAAATGTAGATAAGTCACGGTAATTGAAATAATAAGGGTGACGCTGTGACGTTGCCCCTTCTGACGCTGAATTTCGCTTTGGGATCATCGTTAAATTGTATTTTAATCCTCGAGGGCGTCTTTCTTTGTTAAATATACTTATTACTTTGATTCAAGATCTGAATACAGCGCGCGAATTAAGGCTAATAATTAAGGTAACATATATTTGATACATTCTGATATCGGAATGAATAAATACTCTTTTACGTTTATTCCACGGATTTATTTTTTCCTCTCTCTTCTCATTAATCATGTATTTACTAATTCAGTTTCGTCGTGAAATAAAATTTTTTTTAAAAACTGGAAAGAGGACGCGTCACTCTCGCGGACCTCTCGCTATTACGCGGATTGAGGCTGAAACGTACGGTACAGCGTTTCGGGCATTTTATCGAATGGGAGGACATCACGGGCAACGATGAATGAGATTAAATCGAACAAACGTGGAACTTACCAACGACGTTTAAGCGAAACTGATGCGACCTGATGGGTATAGTAGAAATCTGACATTCGTAGATTCCCTGATCTCGCTCCTGCGCCCATTTTATGCAGAGGGTCCACTCGGACCATTCGCTGTTGTGGCCCGTGTTTTGTCTGTGTAGTGCTTGAAATCGCTGGTCGCTCGTATATGTGTACGCTCCCGCCGTCAGAATGTGGATGTCCCTGTGCCTGACCCAGGATACCTTCGCAAACAAAGTTGGCAATAATGGTGATAAATGATAAACCAATAGCCAATGTACGGAGTATCCAAACTGTCTTATTATCGACCGCACTATATTTACTTAAACAAACGAGTGATCTCGATATCCAATGTTTTATGAACAAAGCGTATTCTTGAACGTTTAAAGAGGACAGAAACAGACGTTATTTGTTTCTAGACCTTTGAGTAAAAATATTTTCATGTATTTTTCACTTGTCTTTATATAAATAACTGTCTTATTTTTCATTATATCATGTTTTCTCTCCTGCACTTTATAAACGGAAAGCAATTCGCAAAATACTGAAATTTTGATATTATCTTTACAAAGCGAATAATAAAATCATTTTTTTATACAATTACACGTAATATCTCGAATAAATGAAGCTTTGTTTTCGCGAATTTTACGCGTTATTTAAAATCATCTTTAAAAGAGTGATTTAACTTTTGGAAAAATACATTCATTGAAATAGGAGCTTATCTCGATAATCCATTCGCGCACAGTGTCGAAGTTCTTGCATCATGAAGTAGTGCCTGATCAACTTTATCACGATTCCGGGAACGGAAGGACCGAACGAGAGGATTCGTCTATTTTCGTGCCCGCGGAACGCCAAAAGCTACCGAGCCGTGTCGAAACGGTAAGAAAAAGTTGCGCGGAGGAATACAGAAAGTTTTCCGGAGAATTTCGGGGTGCTTCCTCCCCCGGTTGTCGGTGCACGCAAAGCAGATTCCCACGAACGCGCGCGCGTTCACGCGCCGGTGCCGGAGTGTGAGACTTCGAGAGTCTTCGGCGATTTTCCGTGGAAACCTTCGAATGGAAAATAAAAGGATTCCGCGGAACGCGAAGCGATTCAACCGTCTTCTTACATTCCAGACTCTCTCGGAAATTCTTCAGAAATAATATTATCTTAGGGGCTGCATCTCTTCTCCGTCCCTTTTTAGCCCTCTGCATTTTTCTCGCGCGACTAACTTTCTTATCTTGAAAACAGGATTAACACGTCACCGAGGAATATTGTTAATCTTTTAGGATTGAACTAGTCCTAAGTGAATTATATTAGATTGCAGATGTTATAAACATAAAACTATAGAATAATAATATGAATTTAAAGGATTAAGGATCGATTTGTACAAATCAATTTTCTCGCTTCTTCTTCTATGTATAAATTGATTCGTCGAATTATTAATTGTAAGAAAAGTCTTTTGACAAAACACTTTGTCCAAAATTGTAATTATCGTTCTAAATAAAAGGAGCAGTAAAAGGATCGGATTAATCATATTCTCCGTTCTTTCGCAGAGAATACGCGACGATAAGTGAATAGGGACGAGAAATTAAATTTTAGCGAAGAAAGTTCGGTCACTTAAAAGTTAAACCGTAAGAAAAGGCACTTCTCTACGCTTTCTCGTTGAAGCTCGCCGTCTGCTTTAATATTCCCAAAGACTACTACAGAGACTCGTCGAGCTTTCAATGAAGTGTATGCATTTCTGCTCCAGCGAAGTGAATACTTTTATTTTTCTGCAGTTTTCAGATATGAAACATGATGAGAAAATCATAAGAAAAGTCTGCATGCAAAAAAAGATTGCGATATTAATAAAAATTATATATAATATATATAATATTACATTTCTCTGTGAGAAGATCAAGTAATATTTTTCGCTCAACAATTCTCATATTATTAAATTTAATTAGTATGTATAATAGATTATATCTATTATATATTTTATTACTAAATGCATGAACATGATATTGAAAATTAATTGAAGAAATACGCAATGTATAGGTTCGTTACACAACTTGAGCTTCTACACATGCATTTTCGTCATGCACGTGAATCATAATGCTACTAAATCATGGTGTCTAAAGAGTCGCATGCGCAAAATACCCGCACGAAAATAATTTATCGTTGCCGTCTGTCAGTCATCCATCTCGAAAGCAATCGCAAGCAAGCAACGAGAGCAAAACCGTAACATTGGAATTTGCGGTAATGGTAAAGTTCGACGCATATTAACGTTGGGTTTTCGCGCCGGGGCGCGCGTCCCCAATGCGGGAAATTTCAACCTCCGCTACGGAGGGGGGTTGGTCTTTAGCAGCGAGGGCGGCTTGGCTGTTCGTCGATATTTTCACAGAGCCCGATCTCGTATATGAACCGAGTGAGACCGGGAATGTGTCGGTTCGACACATCGTTTCCTGGTGCACACATACACACGCGCCGTACAAACGCGGACTACATATGTGCCCGCAGTTGGCACCACTTAGCGTATTTACTCGGCGAAGTTTACGTCTCTCGCGGTGTCTGGCTAGCGGTAGCTATTGCACGGGAACAAAAGCAGTTTAGCGCTTCCCAACTTATCCATCGGGACGAATGGGGCGACTCGCGGACGCGCCGGCGCGAGAAACGATGAGCGAACGTTGCATCCGGGTGAAACTGCAAGAAGACGTAGAATGATGAATGTCGAACATTAAGTGAAACTGGCGCGAGCGTAATGGGAACGGTGGCAAACGGTGGTTTCTCACCGCTATCAGCACCGTGCGTAAATTAGTCGCGTACGTGTCTTTGTTTAGCAAGTCAGAGGAGTCGCGAGAGTCTACTATTCTGTATGATATTCTTTCTCTCATAGTGTAATTCAATTACTACTTTATTCTAGAATATAAAAAAGTAAATATTTCGACGCAATTAAAAATTTCTGGGTGATTTTATATTAATTATACTCATAATATAATATAATAATTAAAGTGTTAAAATCAGAATTATTCAGAAAATTGATATATCCAGAAGTAGAAGTTAAAGTTACTAATGAGATTAATATTACATAAGTTTTGCATAGAATCGAAGTGCTACGTGTCTTTCGATAATATCAGGAAAGAGAATATCTTTAGATTGGTATCATTTTATCTGAAGCATCTCGTATACGTGTAAACTTCACCTTTTACTATTTTGTTTTCGCAATCGTCTCTTTTTCATGCTCTTGCTCTCTTATTGCTGAGTGCAGTATATTGATCCTGTTAGTCGATAATTTTTTTGATATTTTTGTTCTACGGAATTTAGTCGTTTATATACAGCTTTACTCGCAAAAGCTTTTTTCCTTTCCTGTCATGTGTATGCTAACTGTCATTCCGTTGCAATGTCGATGCAGTAATTGATAACGTACGCGCGATGAATGCATTCCTAGCTTCGATAGTGGAAAAGTCGAAAACATCCTTCGGAAATCTTACTCAGAATTTTATTTAACGTTATTTGAATCTGTTTATGAATGAAATTAGTTTTTTATTTAAAATAGCTTAAGTTGAGAATGATCATCAAATTAATTTGTTGAAATTAAATCGTGAAAATATTTTTTTAATTTTTTTAATAAAAAACACATTTTAAACAAAGTACATGTTTTAGTTAAAATAAAATAATATATTATACATTCCACATATACATATAGAATATATGTTTGCAGATCTAAAGTATTCAAATAATAAATTTAAAAGAGATTTTAAATTCAATATTGTAATCCGCGTGATGTTATGAATCATAACAGGAAGCAATGTAAATTCTTGTATCAATTATATTCATAATATAAATAATTAAATTGCTTTTTTTATAATAACGTTCTTATTTCTTCATTAATTTGTGAAATGTTTCCGTTTCTGTAATTTTGCCTCTTTGACTTTTTAATATCCATACGAGTTACATTACGCGAAATTTTGTACTGTTTTCCTCTCGATAATTCGATAGCGTTAGCTCGCTAATCAGACAGGCATTTGTATCATAAAACACGATTAAAAACTCTTCCCTTTTGATATCGCGCCGCATCAAATGTGTATCGGAATTTAATCCATTGACATCGAATGAAGATAATTTTGCTATTGTGCGTTTCCTGAAACATTTGAAACATTATTGCCTTCTTTCAGTTAGGTATCGAAAATGTGAAGTGCAATATATATGCAACATCTGTATATTCGATAAAAAACTTGTTATTACATAAAATTGTTATTACATAAAAAAGATTCCAGAAAATATTACAAATTGTTCAGTATTTCAATATTTTAAGGATCATTAAAACCGCATTTCTTTCTAATCCTATTAAAATAAATAGGATTCTTATTAGAAAAGTAATTATTTTAATTTTTTAAGCAAAATGACATAAAAATGCTTTTAGATATTGTTTTTAATTATAAACAACATTTATTGAAAACATTTATTGAAATTTTTTATATTTATATAATATATTTTGTAATTAAAGAAATAGAATGAACAATGTTTTTTATTAAAAATGCTTTGATGAAAACAAAATAAAATAAAAATCAATAATTAAATGTTAAATTTAAAATTTAAAACATTCAGAATTATTTCACGAAATATTTAGAAAATTATATTTAGAAAATTACACATTTATTTCATAATTTTTCAGATATTATTTCTGTCACGATTCTCGTTTTCTTTTGCTATGACACACACACACACACACACACACACACGCGCGCGCGCGCGCGCGCGCGCGCGCACACACACACACACACGCACGCACGCACGCACGCACGCACGCACACGCACACGCACACGCACACGCACAATTGCAATTTGATATTTTGTGTAACTTTGTAAAACAAAATCTAGTGGTGTTATGTCTGGTGACCTATATATAAATGTTTACAAAACCAGTCCATCACGTTCCGACTATCAGTTTCAAAAAATTTTACATTTATTACTTATATACAAACATACTATATAAATCTTATAAAACTTTAATGACCAAAAGGGAAAGTATTTTTATTCGCAATTTTGAATTGTTAAGAATTGATGAAAAAGATATTTTAAATATGCACGGTATTTATCTTAAATGTTCTCCTTCACAATATTCAATGAAATTCTGCTTATTTTGAGTATTACTGAAATATTGAAATAATTTATTTGTTTTCAATTTGCTCTGGAATTAATTTATATACATTGCAAAAGAATAAGGATAATATCTAAAATTGGGAAAATGCGAAAGTTACATTCTGAGATCTTAAAGATACACATCTTTAAGATCTCAGAGTGAATTGGTAACACTTGCTTATACTTACTTTAGCAATACTTACTTATTGGCTTTGCAACAAGCAGCCTCGGGGAAAACTAAACTAACTCGTAAATTGACTTTCGCGTTGCGATAGCTTAACCACTAGTGCGCAAATAATTAAATTGCTTTGTGAGAAAGCAGAAATGCAGAAAAATTTTCGAGCGAAACCCCGATTCTATTATTAAACACATTTACCACGTAACGCAGCAAAATAACTATAAAGGGGTGCAAAGTCAATTTCTTTCTTTCATATAATATTTCAACCGACGCTTTTACAAGCATTGCAACAGCATTTCAATTAAGTCTCTCTCCTTTTCACTCCTTTTCACCCTCTTTTTCTCTTTCTTTGAAATTGTTTTAATTATTTCGTTGCAATTAAATAGTTTTTCAAATAAAATATTTTCTACGAGATATACTATAAGATGTTATTAACTTACAGTTTATGCTTATACTACTTAATGTTTTTCTTTCATCTTTAAGAAAACTTTAATGAAAAGTACTGTTTCTTTTTTCAGATATTTAATCTTTAATTTTTAACATTTAGTTATTCCAGAGACTTTTTAAAATACTATTGAAGTAAAATCCATTTGAAATAAAATACAGTTTTGTTAACTTTTTTTATTGAAGCAAGAGTGAGTGAGTAATTTAAGTTGAGAGGAAGGTTTTTATATTTTCAATCACTTAGAGTTCTAAAACTATTAGTGACTCTTTTTAGTAAAGAAAGGTTGATTTCAATTCAATACAAGTCAATCAGAGTTTATTGGAAGAAAAGTATGATAGTTTGGGAAGAACCTATATAATTTTATTTTTGTCAAATATTTTTTTTCTTTTCTGTCATTTTCTTATTATTTTATAAAATAAATGTGAAATAGGAAGTATTGTTGGTTTTACTGTTACAAGAATCTTTATTGTCATCGTTAGAACAGAATAATTGAATTCTTGAAGTTTTTATCAAGAAAATGCTATATTGAAGTAAATACGAGAACGATAATCGTCGGCATGTGATATTCAACAGATGTAAATATTTATTTATTTATAATCGAAACGATAAAACTGAATGTATTTTAAAGATGTTTGTTGTACATTCGTGAAAGATTATTGATAATAACCTGTGCAAAATCAATTCTATCATATAATAGCTCTGATCATTCCTTTCAATAATGATCATAATGGTAGTACTACGTCTACGATAGAATTGAGTTTCCAGTTACTTCTAAGGTCAATTAACGTTCAATCGATCCCGCGGGATTCAATTATTTTCTGTAAATCGTTTCTAAGATCCTATTATGAAATCGGTTTCCTCTTATGCTTCCGGAGAGAGAGAGAGAGAGAGAGAGAGAGAGAGAGAGAGAGAGAGAGAGAGTGTGTGTGTGTGTGTGTGTGTGTGTGTGTGTATTTTTACAATGAAATCAATTTTTTTCATTCTTCGTAATGATTGTAAGAACATTCCGAATAAAATAAACAGATTACAGAGATAACATCCTTGTTTCATATTTCAAGATGATATGTAGGGGAAAGCCTTACGGTTTTGTCGCCCAGATTGCGAACTCGGCACGTGAGGTATGCAGTTTTTCCAATCAGGGCCGTCACGTTGGTGTTCTGCGACTGGTCGAAGGTAGGTTCCGGTTTTGACTTCGGGCCGGAAGAATGATCCAGCAATTGTTGCCGAGGTCTGGTCTGGATCGCGTGTCTGTCCATGTTATCTATCGTCCGATCTCCTAGACTCAGCGTGTCTGTAACAAGAGAGAAATTCGCTGATTGAGTATTCAGAAGTCGTAGTACACGCCGAGTGATTAATGTTACTATAGTTATAGTTACTATAGTCCGCGACAAAGCAAAAATATAAATTTTACCTTTTCATCGCCATACCTTTACGTACTGTATTTTTTATGAGGTATACGGCATTACCGCATCAAGACGTAGATTTTATTTCAGCATTTTATTTCTTGAAAAGTGATAAAAAAATATATTTGATGGATGTTTCTAATTACTTCTGAGAACTTCAGTTACTACTAGAACATGAGCCATGTTAATTTCTATATCAGAGTTAATTTCCGGTTGACAAATTAGCCTTTAACCAAATTCCATAGCCAAACAAGCGATTAGTGAAATTTCCGGTTAATTGAAATCTGTAATGGCAGCCATTAAACGCACGAGCGAGAAATAACAAAGCTTTAAAGCATTGACGTCCAACTAAACGTTTACAACTCTTTGAAATATTCAATATTGTGGCTAGCCTGTTTTTTCTTGAATAAATCGTTGAAATTCGAATTAAATACAATTCCTAACTAAATGTAGTCTCTAATTAAATGTAACTCTAATTAAATAGTTGAATCCTTTTGTAAAACCGATTCTAAAAATTTGTATTGAGTCCGATTATTCAATATTCACGGAAACTAAATATAAAGAGGGACTTTGATACGTAAGTGATGATTCTTAGAATGAGTCTTAGAATAAAATTTTTTAGAATATTTCTTAGAATAGAAAGTGATTAACATTTCATTTGACAAGATTGACAAGACATTTTTAATTCAGTCTATTCACTATTTCTATAGTCACCACAAAAGCGAAAATGTTTAAATTTTCATTTCTTAAACAATGACACATAATGTAAGAACTGTGAATGTTGTAAATGGCTACGCTATCTAAGCTATTCATTATAATAATTTATTGCAATAATTAATAAGATTTGAAAAAATTATAAATAAAACTAAAAATAAAAGAAGAAGAAATATGTTTGTGATAAACTTTAAACTTTTGAAGAATTTGCAAAAATAATCATGATTTTTATTTAACCATAATTTAGTTTGATAAAATTGTAGTTAATTGCTAAATAAATTTAATGGGACGATTCGAGACCCGTGACGTCAGTGTAACTATGCTCAGATGCTGCAAAATGGTCTATAGCACCGCGTACTTTGTGCATTGCAAGTTGTTGAGTTAGAAATGCACTCAGGAACGGTCGATATATGTCTCGAAGTAGCAGAAGTGTTTGCTTAGTGTTTGAAACTAACTCCACTGCATATTCCGGATTTAATGGCGAAAGATAGCAAGCAAATTTCATATTTAGGATCTTTAATTCACTCTTTTCTTCATTTTGGTTTTATTCGCATTAATTTGAGACTTCGCTTGTAATTACAACAATAAAACAAATAAATAACTAGTAAAAATATTATTGCTTTGATACTCTTAATATTCTGAGTAATCTCGTTACAGAAAGCTAACAAATTTAGATATGTACTTGAAACTTCCTCAGCGACGAGATTCGAAATACTCGAAGATGATGAGGCTGAAGCACGACGATCGACTGCGTCTTTTCAATGCGCGGATAGGAGGGGCGAGTAGTTTCAACAGCCAAGTGCATACAAAGTATCTATAGTTGAGTAATCAGAGAACTGTAATAGCTGCGGGATGTATCTATAGCCAGAGGAAGATTGGATGGAATTAGATTAGATCAGAGCTCATTACGCTTCAGCTTAAGAGTGAATTAGATAGAGGGTGGGTTGTCCGGGTAAAGGACTCGGCTTCCGGTTAAGATAAATCTTTCTTCATTGTTTTTCCCATAATACATCACGTTGATGATAATGGAGACTGCCATCTTGAAGACAATGGCGATGCCGCAGTGTAGTAGTATCTTGTCTTACGGAGCACCGAGTACTGAGCTTTAAGACCCTGATATAACTCTTCAGCTTTGGCATCTTCGCAAAATCTGATAGGTATAGACCATATTAAGAGCAGCGCGTTTCTTCGTACTGATAATTATCTCGAATATATATTCTTATCTAATAAAAATTTGAATAAATTTGAACAAATACATTTTTCACATTCGCGCGTTCGAATAAATGTTATTCTGAATTGTCTCTCAACAAGCTGTACAAAAAAAAATTTGTTAACGTAGAGATTGCTCTAAATATATTTAAAAATAGATTACATATTATTTTTTTATTATCAATTTGCATTTTTAAAATTAACGCTCAAAAATTTCTATATCTTTGAATTAATTGAAAAGGAATAATACACATTTTCTGCCATCGGTCTTTAATATTTGCGACAATGACAAATCACATTTGCATTTGTATATATGTGCATGTGCATGTGCACTAAACAAAATAGATCACTGCGCTCTCCTTGTTTATTTTAATTTTAACGATGAAATTATCGAAGCTTTGTTTCTCACAAGGCAGCAGGCAAGGGAGAAGAGGGGAATCGAGTTGTTAGTTTGATGTCAACGCATCGGAATGGAAACGGTAGATTGTAACCCCCTCTAATTAACGAGGACATATCGCAGCGAGCGAGCAAAAGCTGATAGTCTACGTGGAAAACTTTGCACTTCATTAGCTTTCCACCGAGATACGCCTCAGGTGCGGCAGTCTCATGCTCGCGGAGCTTCAACAATGTGATATCCGTGTAGCAGGATAGTGCGGGCGTGTGTATGTATGTGTGTACAGTGGATGCTTTCTCGAATCTCGATATATGAAGACAGCCACGATGATATATAAGGGGCGAGTTCTGGGAAAGCCAAAGAGAAGGACTCCCTGGAGTGCATGGAAAAGCTCGTTATAAGCTCTTCGGTCTTAGTTGCCGCTACGAAATTAATTAAAGCAAGTGCTCGCTCAGGCGGGCGCGAGATATCAAGAAATGTCCTTTTGTTGGTTGCATAGTGAATTCGCGTGCGGCATCATTCGCGAGAGATAATGAGCGGCGGGCGGATGTATTCTTACGAGTGTCGAAGTGCACTTAAGACTGGCAGAAGGATTATTAAGATAAAGATTAAGTTTCCTCCCCGCATAACTTGGCTAAGACATTGTTCGGTGTTCGCTTATATCTTGTTTGTCGCCATTGTGCCGTCGCGTATACACTACAACGAAAATACATGCAACTTACATGTTTCTCGAGAAGTGTATTATATCAAACCGTTACATAGAACTGTCGTTTAGATTTTATTAATTTATATACACTCCGTGTTACATTCACTCGTAATAATTATTATTGCATGTTTGATGAAATAGTTCAATCCAGCCGTCGCTTTTTATGTGCAAAGGGAAATTCTTTGAATATGAATTCGAAGTAAAACTCAGATAATTTTCATCGATTTATAGACGAGCTGTTCAGCAAATTACGGGCCATTCGTTCTCAGGGAGTTGAGAAAAAAGCTGGATTTGTCGGCAGGTTCGTGTTGGCGCTTTTTTTTTTCAGAACGATTCCCAATAATTATACCTTCTGTCACTTGACGTCATTTGACATGGGTGGTTACTCTTGTTATTACGGCCGCACCCGAGGTCATAGGTTTACGACAGGTGCAATAGAATAACTCCCTGTACTTTGGTTGGACTTTATGAGAAAAAGAGAAGGCGTGGCGCTTTTAAAACTAGCTTTATATTTTTCGCATTTTTACTCATTACTTAATCATATGCTTTTAGCGCTGATTTGCGCAAACAAAAATATCACAGAGTTGATTCATATATGATTCATATATTACAGTTGATACATTTATTAACTTTTCCAGCTTTTTCTTAGAGATTAAAATTTTAAAGACCGACATTTATTGATCACACATCTTCGTTTTATACAACTCGAAAGAGATTTAATAACATAAGAAAAAAAAAAGCTTATGGTATGGAGATCAATCATGGAGAGATCAATCATTGAGAGATATCGACTAAAAACACAATAAATACAGATAGATATCCAGTGAAAATTCTGAGTGAAACAGTGAGAACATCAATTTCAGTAGACAATTTTTCTGAAACTTAGACTCGAGGGATTACTAAATCCAGTTTCATTCTCAATGCGAAACTTCTCGTAATTCTTTCAGTTAGGAGAAGGTATGCCATATCGCGGAATGAGCTTAAAAGCTTCAGCGAATCAGTCTCGTTTACTGATCTTTTCAGTCGCTCCACCGGCAATTTAGGTATCGTGTGTAATTTAGCGTGTTATTGCTACAAGCCGTTCGTTCACGCGGCCAGCAGCGGATGCCAGAATTCATTACGCTGGAAAATGATTCGCGATGCGGCCGCGAAAAAGAATGGCATAGAGTTATCGATACGAAAGTATCGATAGATATATTGTAACGGCTGCAGCAACCGCAGCCGTATCATAAAACGCCGATGATGGAGGAGGAATAACGATACCTCCAGCGGGCACATATTTCTCGCGTTACTAACGTATCGATCGTCACAAAATAATCTTCGCGGCCGCGCCTTTTTCCAGAAAATCCGGAGTCGGACAGAAAAATCACTTTTCACGCCGAATCGGCGTAGCTGTACGTGACCCCGAAGGATTTGCACGCGACTCGCATCGGTGCTTCTGGATTAAGGTATTTAAACGAGCGAGGATCGCTGCTGTCTTTTCGCCCGCATTTCGTTGTAATTTCCCGACACGGTGAAGGAGAGAAAGAGCGAAAGAGAGAGAAAAGGGGCAGAGAGGATTTCAGACCGCTGGTACGCCATCGTAACCCAGCGATCTGAATATTTAGATCTCTGGGGCACCGGGCGAATGACCTTCGCAATAGCGAGGGAGGATCGTTTTCCGCCTCCGTGGAAGTGGACGGTAAAAGTTACGATCTTATTTCGAGCTCATCGCAATTTGTGCTCGACGCCTTCGTTTCGACAATTCGGCTCTGTAGCTCTGTAGACTCGACGAACCGAACGGAAAAAATCGGAAATTTTTTTATGAGTGTGAAAATAGAATATTCAGGTCTCATCGTCAGGTATCTTTTTTTGTGCGCTAACAT